CGCTGCCCGCGCCCCAGCGCCTTTTCGACCAGCCTCCTCTCCCTGCCGCTTGCCGGTGCAGCCTATGTCGACGGAGATCCTCCGCTCCTCAGCGACCTTCTTGCCGAACCATCGGCCCGCTTGGATTCGGGCGACCTGCATCGGGACCGCGTAGACAGGAAAAAAAAAAAGTGCTGTGCTGCGATGCGACCCTCGTGTCGCCGCTGAATGGAACCGGCCAGCCGCAACGCACGATGGCGCCATGCGAGACTTGACATGCGTCCGAGCCCAACGAGCCCCGCCGTGCGTGGCAGCCACTTCCGCCTGGAGAGACGGTGGTGGCCATAGCGGTGCAGCAGACCGTCACCAGCACGGCCCTTGGCAGCCCGTAGCCCGCGCCGCCGCATGCGAGCCAGCGGCCGGCTCCAGAGCTCGACCGCGCATGCTGGCTTTGTGGAAGCGGCGGGGCCGAGCCGGTTGAGACTGCGACACTTTCACGGCGTAGGTTCGCATGGAGTGGCATCAGAAGAGAGACCTCGTTGGATTGACATCGTGCAAGCTGAAAAATCATGTTGCCATCATTCAGTCATTCAGTTAAAAAACATTATAAACTCGGAACGTACCGTGGGCGTGGAGTGCGACATGCATGCTTTGCGCGAACAGGCCTTCTCTTCAGCCTTTAATTTGGTCAGCTGTCGCTGGTTGCCTCAGGTTAAGCAAAGCCAGCGCAAACATCAATGCTCTCAACAAAAAAGGCACCGTGCCTGCGAAAGAAAGTGTTCTTGTGTGTATGCGGCCGCTACTTGACGAGGCCAATCTGCCATTCACACTGCGGCACATGCGGGATTGGATGAAGTTGCAAAATGGCTCACAGACCATGTGCGGCCCTGAGTCGTCGACAAGGATATGAATTAGCAGCAACAGCGACAACACGTGGAATCTGAGGCCAATCCTGGGCTCATCAACGTCCAGGATCGCGGAGTTTGGCTTGATGCTTGGCGTGCTCAGTTGACTGTGAGCGGTTTTCGCCTGGGCAGGATAAACATGGTCGAACGGCGTGGTACTGTGCCACCAGGGTGCGGTTCAACAAAGCAACCACACACTGGTTGTGGATATTGATATTGGTTGGGTTCTCGCATTACCCTGTTTGTGCAGGCCGGCGATGTGAAGACATTGACAGTCTTGAAGGACTCCGAATTGCAGTTGGCAAGGTGCAGACATAACGGTGATATGTTGTGATGTAACTTGTTAATGTCGAGCGCGAGTGCTAAAAAAACTTGTTTAAAAAATGCCAAGTCGGTCGGAGGAGAAAGGCCCAGTCACGAAGCTGAAGCCGCATCTGTCCCAGCACTGGTGCAGCCTAGACTGGCAGCATCCAGTGTGGTGTGAGACCTTCCGATCTTGTGGCTTTGAGCCGTGTCTGTTTACAGTTTTCACAGCACATATCATCGAACTGTTCAGACCAGGCACAAGAAGTGGCAAGTGACACCACCACCACCTAAGCCTTCGACCAAGTGGAATGCATGGGAAAGTCGCGCGGGTACAGAGCGCCAAAGTCAGGCGGTAGCCTCACCAGTTGTGCGAGGCCACAGCCGTTGGTCGATCCCAACCCTGTGATTGTCAGCAGGCCAGCATTCTTAGCACTTCCGGTGGCACGCGTTTTTGGCAGCTCGTTTGTCATTCTCGTGCATCTGACGTGTGATGTGATGTCCCATTGCTCTCACATGTTCTTGACAACAGGCCACCAGAGGCGGAAGAGACCAAACCGGCAAGAGTGGGATACTCTCAGGGTTTGCTCGCATGGAATTGCTGCAGTTTCGCCTGCTTCTGGCTTATTGTGTGTATTACTACAGCTCAGGTCGCGAAGCAGCTTTCCATCCAGGTGGACAAGGCCGTGTTGCTCAGATGGCAGATATTGAGCCGATGTGCCGATCCATCGTGTCGAGTTGTGAAGCCCCCGCAGAGTTTGTGCTGCCGTAGGTAGCTTCCCTTTGTTGCTCCTTGTTATTCTTCCATCATCTGCACAGCGATTTGCCATCCGACGTTGTGGAATGGTCATGAGTCACAGTCATAAAGACCACTGTGCCTTGCCGCTGCTTGAAGGAGCCTTCGGCTGACTCCTTTGAGATGGCCGCCCTCTCAGATGTGACACCTGGATCTTAGCTGCGTGATGTGGTGCTCTGAAGAGACTTGAATGTTGGAGCCTGTCCCAATCGGCTTCGTTGCCGAGCGCTTGCGCAGCAGGTTTCACCCAAGAGAACTGCCGACGAACTCCGCCACCTGTCCGACGAGTGCCAGGATGGTCAGGCAAGCCCGGCGAGCATTGACTTTCATGTGTGCGCAGCCAACAAAGTCTCCGCCAGATGCTGCTTGAACATGTTGAGCACGCTTGACAACGTTTCTGATGCAGGCGGATGTGGATGTTTTGGCCCTGCTCTCACAGTATTGCACTGCTACGTTGGTTCCTGCATTTTTATCCACTGCGTACGGAACAGATCTTCTTGGTTGATCATTGCGGCCTGTTTCGCTAAGGCTGTTCTACAAGACAATTTGGCAGAGGATGTGTTTGTGCCTGAAGCTGGTTGAAGCCATAACAACAGCTTCATGTTGAACGCATTGTCGCTTCCAGCAGAAACTGCATTCGAGCAACGAGCTGTAATCCTGCTGTGTAACCTAACGATCCGAAGGTTCAGAGGTCTCGACAGCAGTTGCTTTTACCGGGGGCTGGTACCAAATCCGTTGTGGCTTCATGGGACGTCCCTGCCAGCATGTAACTCCGCTTGATAATTTGGTTTATGTCTTGTTGGACATTCGTGGACCCGGGTAGCACCAATTTTTGCGCATCTCGTGCACTCGCAATCGCACACCGATTGACATCGATCATCTTGACAGACAGTAAGTGACAGGTAGCCTTTGCCTGATCTTACCGGTCTGTGCTTGTCGATTTTTCTGCTGAAGGCATAACACCGCGTGCTTTTGCATCTGTTGTGGAGGAGCGTGAGACACAGCAGCTGCTGCAAGATGGAGAGGTTCGACGGTCGTCCTTCCGGTGTTTCCGTCGGAGTTGGTCCTTGGTAGTTGGCTAAACAATGTCAATATCTGGATCGAGTGAGTCCGAGGCCCAATATGCCTTACACATCAACTGCAGCTCAAGCTCGGCCTGGACAGAGCGAAGCGCAATTTGTTCAAACAAGCCGGCCTGCGCATGTGTTTTCAGAGGAAAGAAAATTAAAGGGCTGAATCTCAATTGAAATTCCTTCCCTGACCATGTTGCTCGTGTTCGGGTCACCTCACCCATGTTCAAGAGCGAGGAAGCCCACTCGCCAGGGTTCGGGATTTCCGTCACATTGTGCAGATTCTCGATGATTTTTCTCGCACAAGTGGACCCTTCTTAACCATACTTATGTCTCTCTAGAGAGACCTAAAAAGAGACCTTACTGAGAGGGTCTATATTTCCAAGGGTCCCTCTAATCCTGACTCCAAAAGTTATGTTGTTTGTTACTGTTCTGTCTATGCTGTGAGTTGTTCATTGAATCCTACTGGAAAGTCCAGGAACCCTTCGGAACCATGGACGCAAGACCAACTGTTCATTTTCGTTGCTCGGTTATTTGCTAAGCTCAGGGTGAGAATTAAAACAGCTCCAGTCTACGGAGTGTTTCTTGAGATGAGCTGAGAATCCTGTGGAGGCACTTCTCCAGGAGACGGAGGCAGTCCTGCTGCAATAGTGCAGACGTTGCCTGCTAGCTATTCAGTCGCTGCGAGCTCTTGTGCACTTGGTTTGCAGGGGCAGCCTGGTAATGATCATGGAATCGAAAGTCTTGGCCTCGAGTCTGCGGCATTTGGATTTGGGACAGCGTTGGGTCGGTTTGTTCAGTTTGCTGCCGCTTCGAGTTTCCACCTGTCCCTGGGTACTGTCAAGGCATCTTCTCCCTGTGCGCTTGTTTGCAGCGTAGTTCGTGTGATGCTTGGCTCAGAGGCCAAAGGATAGTGCAGTCATGTGCAGTCCTATTGTGTCATACAGACAGGTTGTCCACATATTCGGCTCAGCTATGGCTATAGCTATAGCTTGGCTCGGCTCTCCAAGACTTGCTTTTCTGCTAGCGTAGACTGGCTGGCCATTGTGGAAGTGTCCTGCCGGAGCCTCAAAAAGTCCCCTGGCCAGAGGCATTCAGTGTTGCTTTGTCTTGTCTGGGGTCAAACCCTCTACTGAAATTGGATCTGCCTGCCAACCCTCGTCGGCCTCACTTGGCTGGAAGCTGTATGAGGAGTACATCAAGTCAAGCATGATACTCTAAACTTGCTCTCGACTGTTGAGGAAGGTTGATTACAGGTTCTGTTAGGAGGTTGTAGGCCCCGTCATGGCATTTTTCGTTTGATGCACGGGCCGACATCCAGAATCTAGCCACAGCCGAGATTGGTCGTTAGATTGCATTTCGTGACCTGTCCGAGCGATGACGGAGCCAGATGAGAGTGAGTCGTGTTATGAGATCCTTGGTGTGGACCCTGGGGCATCGTCCTCGGAGATCCGGCAGGTGCGTGTGCGAAGCAGGATCGTTTGGTGGAGTTGTGGTTGGATGTAGCGCAGGCATACAGAAAGTTGGCGCTGGCAAAGCATCCAGATCGTGGGGGTGATCCCGAAGAGTTCGCCAGGCTCAGCAAGGCCTACGAGGCTTGTGGGGAGCGGTGGGCAGTCTGGGCTGAGTTCTTCTTGTGAGCGCTCCAAGCCCTGCCTGAAGGTCCTGTCGAATGCCAAGTCGCGAGCCAACTATGACAAAACTGGGCGAACTTCCAAGCTGACTGCGGAAGAGGAGTTTATAGAGGATCCTCAGCAGCAATCGATCTGGCATACATAGTGCAGCATACACCTCCACTCACGTGACGTTGTAGTACTTCTCCTGCAGTATTTCTTTTGTCAGTGCCTGCTTCGTTTCTTCTCGATATTTCTGTTTGTGTGTGCTGTAGCTTCTGACAAATACAATGGCAGTGCGGACATTTCTGAAGCTTGTCAAAGCATCGCGATATATTCCTTGACATTTCCAGGGAAGCCACCCAGGTAAAAACTGTGTGAATGTCCTTTACAACGATCAGCTGACATGTGGAAAGTTGGGCTGCCTCTCTGAGGCCTTCCGCAGCTCTGCTGCAGAGGCTGCCCCGCAAGAGTCAGCCCGCCCGCCGCCCCGGAGGACGGTGTGTTCGGAGTGTGTTGGAGTCGTGTGGGCATGCGGGGATGGCATCTTGGAGCAGGCCGCGGCCGGAGAATCACCGAAGTGGTGGAGTACACAGCTTCTCTGCCAATGTGGGGACCGGGTCGCGATCGCAAGCGACACTTCGGAGTGATTGAGAGTGGCGGGGGCTGGATCCCTCAGTGTGTTTGTTTACATAGGATTCCGGAGACGTTTAGATGGGACAGAACGCTGCCTGAGGGTGGCCGAACTCACTAGACTTCCTTGCAGCCAGGAAAGACACGGGCGTGATCGGAGATGCCTTGGCAAGCGCAGTTCATGGCGCAGTTGGTGCCAGCTTCAATCCGGGTGCACGAGTGCGGGTCGTCGGACTGGAGAAGCAACAAACCCTGAACTCCGCCACGGGCACCTTGGTGAAGCTTCACAACGATCGATGGCAGGTTCGCCTGGATGGTGATTTGGGCGACAAGCTCTTAAAGTCCAAGAATCTAATACTGGAAGAGAGCCGAGACATTCCAGAAGCCAAGCCGAAGGAGAAACAGAGTGGGTACCCCACTCGGGTCAGCGTAGAGGAGTCCGAGCCTCCACGCAGAAGTTCGTTCAACCGACCAAGCCCGGATTTTCTGCGGGTGGACTCCGGGATGGCCATTGACATTGCAGGGAGCTGGAACAGCTGGAGGCCGCAAAGGATGACGATGGAACCGAAGCGTCGCTGCCATAAGTTTCAAGTTCAATTGCCTTCAAGCTCCAGCGAAAGCTTCCAGCTCTTCGTTCCGGGTGATGGGCTTGGACGTTGCATTCATCCGGACCGCGCAGACGCACATCCACACGAGTTCCATCGCCTAAGTGGCCCAGACGACAACAGCAAGGGGTACAGCTGGACCATCGGAAAGCATCCTAACGACAAGGCAGTCGCAGGAGCCCGCTATGAGGTCATCCTCATATACGCTGCAAATGGCAAACCCGATCGAGTGGATTGGGTGCACCTAAACCCGCGGAGCGCGACTGCGCCCAAAGCGTCCTTCCCAGCTCGTTCGGGCAGCAATGCAAACAAGGCATACGGGGGAATGACTGTGGCCGGTTTTCTGCAAGCTGCCAAACCGGATTGGTCGGCCAAGGAGGTTACATCTGTGTGTGAGAAGCTGTCCAAGATCACTGTTGTGGATTTGCCCAGCTTGTTGCGTGCGTTACAGTCCGAGGGTTCATCCGGTGTCAACCAAAGGCTCAAGACTGCAGGTGAGAAAGCATTCACAGACCAGACGGCGCGAGCACTGCGGCAGCATGCCAAAAAGGTGTCTGACGAAGAGGCCGCGCGCGTCTCGCGTGCCAGTGCACCGCCCGAGCGCGCAGCCCCGTCGCCACAGACCTCGGCGAGCCTGCCGCCACTGCCCACGCAGGAGTACCGTGTGGTTCACGAGTTTGCATACGTGCGGCAGGACCCTTCCTTGCACTCGCCGCTCTGTGGCAAGAAGGACCAAGGTGAGACGGTACACGCCTGCGAAGAAACTTTCGATGGCTGGATAAAGCTGTATGGGCAGCCGGGATACATCATCAAAGACATGGCCGGCAAGCAAGGAATTGGAAAGATTCTCAGTGCTGTCGGCAAGCAGCCGAGCTTGGTACTCCCTGAACAGCAAGCGACATCGACGCCGCTGGTCTTTGAAGTCGTCTACAAGCCGCTCGTGGCAGTACGCACTGCCCCATCCAAGAGTCGGCCGATTCAGGCCGGAAAGCTTGTGGTCATGGGTCATGGGTACTGTGCAGTGCTGTGTGGCACCGTAGCGTTCTGCAGCGTTTCGATTTGCTGGCCTTTGCCGGGCAGGGGACACGCAAGCTTGGCGAGCAGGTGCGCGCCGATGCTCAAGGCCTGCCGAGCCCACACCACGCTCATACAATATAGCATACTCTTAGTAATATACTGAAATATAATAGACTATAGTGCAGCTTTAGTAGAGTATCAGGGAGGAATGCAAAATGACTGGGCGTGTGCCCGTCGCAGGCTACGGCGGATGGATCAAGGTTTGTGCCGAGGATGGAGGTGGTTGGATGCTGTGCCTTGGAGACCGTAAGTTTTTTTTGTGTGCTGGCCTCCATCTGCTTGCATTCTCAAGGACCGCTGATCCTGACCTGGGAGAACTACTGAGTTGCAAAATGCTTGAACAGCGGCAGCAGCAGGCCCTTCCATTGACCTCGAAAATGTGCCCCAGATTCCGCCCTTGAGATGGACACCTCGAGTATAGTCCCAGATCAGTCGTTGCAAACATTGCGGCAGCTGAAGGATCAGGGCAATGTGCGCTGCAGCTGCTCAAGAAAAAGATGGATTGTTTGCCGCAGGTCAAAGCGCTGCACCGGGCGGCAGCAGCAGGCGATGCCGCTGCGCTCGGCGATGCGCTGCATGTCGCGAAGAGGCCCGTGCGCATGGGCCCGGGAGGTTTTATAGGGAACCCGCTTGGCAAAGCACCTTGGCAGGGCCGGCCTCGGCGGTGAGGCGATTTCCAGCGCAGAGCGGGATTTGCGACAAATTCGCGAGCGCGAGGTGCCGTGGCCCTGTTGGTTGGATGTCTCCTCGCAAGACACTTCACGGCAGGCAGTGCGCAAGGACTTACTTCAGCGCGCGTCTACCGCTAAAACCGCACCTCGACCTGCATGTGCTTTAAGACTGCCACTGATCATGTCTGAATGTTGCAGTGAGTTGCAGTTGTTAGTCATTGATTTGTTTGGAAGCGACTGCGCGCTGGTGGTTGCCTCGGGGCTGAGGACGGAAAGGATACAAAACTCCGGAACTGCATCGAAGAAGCCGACCAGCTGGGCTTGGCTCAGGCACCCGTCGCCGCTGCCGTTGTGCCATTTGCTGTCCAACTTAGATTGTATTTGCCAGGAGAAAAGGGCTATGCAAGAAGCTTTGGATAACCTTCTTGTGACCAAAGCCGAGACCCAGAAAGAGCACGACGTCCTCCTGGACAATCTGGCTGCTGCTGCGGCTAGTGGAGATGTTGCGCAAGTAAAGGTTGCACGGAATGCTGCCAAGGAGGGCGGTGTGCCCATGAAGGAGATTGCTCGTGTCTTTGCTTTGCACAATAACCAGGCAGGCGCATGAGGAACCTGGCCGGTTTGCACGAACTTTTTAGCACCTAGCTTTTGCCCTGGATGGTTGAAAACACCCAGGTGCACATGAAATCTCCCAACCGGCAAAGGGCTTGGTTGAACGGAGATTGTTTTCGCGGTTTTGGCAGATTATTCCTAGATTTGCGTAGGAGGTAGCGGAGGCGTGGCGTCTCGGGCGACTGCCGTCGCGGTCGTGGGGTCCGGGGCAGGGCGAACAGACCACGACGCTTGATAGACGACAAAAGGCCTTTCTCGACCTAGGCCGCAGATGGAGGTGAACTGCTAACCCTGCACTACTGCGGCTGCTGCTGCCACAGTGCTGCCGGGGTGTTGCCCGGATCGGACGGTGGCGCTGGTACGCATGCCCGTGAGAAGAACCACCGGCGCACGGGCTCGCTGCAGTGGCCGCTGCCTCACGACTCCCCGTGCATGATTGTGCCACTGCTACCGTTGCTTCACTTCCAACTGCTGCGGTACTGCAGCTGCTGCTCTGCTTCCTTCGGCTATGCTGTGGCAGTTGCCACTATTGCGACTACGACTACGACTCTGTGAGCACTTCGTGTCCTTGGTGGTTGCGAAGGCCAACTCCATTGTCGGCAGCGCCCTTGGTGCCTCTCCCTGAAAGGCCCGCCAAGCCACAAATAGTAGTAGTAGTAGTAGTAGTAGTAGTAGTAGTAGCAGTAGTAGTAGTAGTAGTAGTAGTAGCAGTAGTAGCAGTAGTAAAAGTAGTAAAAGTAGCAAAAGTAGTAAAGTAGTCGTAGCGGTAGTAGTGGTAGTCGTCGCCGAAGAAGAAGTAATAGTCGTCGTACTAGTAGTACTGGTGGTAGTGGTAGTAGTGGTGGTAGTGGTGGTATTGGTAGTGGTGGTGGTGGTGGTGGTGGTGGTAGTCGTGGTCGTAGGCCCAGGCGTGAGCGCAGTCGTAGTCGTCGTAGTTGCTGAAGTAGTCGTAGTAGTGAGTAGTGGTGGTTGTGGTGGTAGAGCGGTAGTAGTTGTGATGGTGGTGGTACTCGTAGTGGCAAGGGTGTTATGGAGGCGCATGCTGGCTTGGATTCCTTGCTCCTGTTGCAATCTGTCGCGATGTGTGCAGGTCCACCCGCAACTGTTTCAGGCCTGCTGACGTATGTGCACGAGTGTCAGTGTAGCCGAGCCGCACCGCGCATTGTGCCTGCTTTGTTGGCCTCCTTGGATTTGGCTTGAGGGGGGCAAAGCATGGGTGTCACGCCGTCTTGCGACGAACTAGAACCGCAGCAGTCAATATGACAGCGCACGTGGCCGGGGCCCTGGCAAGAAAGGGTGCAAAGGTGCAATGGACTGAGCGGGGTCTTTGTGGCTGACTGGGAGGAGTTTTTCTGGCAATGCACAGCTAGCTTTAGCTGTTATTATTAACATCGAGGAAGTGGAGCTATCACTTTCTCGTAGCAGTCGAAATCGTCGCAACCTGAGTGGCAATTGTCCGAATTCCACTTTCCGAAGTTCCAGAGGTTCCCATGCTTGATTGGCCATGTGCTGTGGCAGCTCCAGTCTTGGTGCCTTGTCTGATTCCAGGGCACTCGACTGCAGCAGTCAACTGGATACCTGACATGAACAGGTTGTTCAACCCGTGCCGCTGCTGCAGCCTGTGCCAGTACCCGTTGCAGTGCTCTTGGTGCTCAGACCTTCATGTCTTCTTGATGCTGACGCTGCAATTTATTTGTGAGTGAATAAGGTCACCGTGCCACCTGCATGGGGTTTGGTTCCAGACATCGGTTTCATGCTGAAGCAGGCGAGATTCAGAAAGCTGGCCGACATAACGACCATTGGAGGTACTTGAGGCTTGATTCTAACAACTCGACAGAGCTCCGCCGCTCTAAACGCTATTAAGGGTTAGTTTCGCTTCCCTTGTTGTGCTAGTCAGGCCATGCAAGCGATGCCCGTGGACTTCCAGCACAGTGCCTTGTGGTTGGTGCATTTTTTGTCTAGATATTCCGGAATTCAACAACTCGAACTTGACCTGGTGTTGGCTGACGTTGCGCCACGTGCGAGCTGAGGTGCACAGGATCCAACGCGGCGAATCCTGTGCTACGGCGCCGTTCTGCCAAAGTTAAGCTTATGGCTGTCAGAGCTCCCAGCAGGTGTATGCAAGTATGTGCTCAGATAGATCTTGCTTGTGGGAACAGACGGTGGGCTGGCCTCAGCCTGGGAAGCTTCTAGCGGATTGACTTCAAATGTAGATGCAAAGGCAGTGGGTCGGGCTCTTATATCTAGAAGGATAGGGCGGTCAGGAGCGCGGACAGAATAGAAGGTTTTTTGGACTGGCAGAGGGCCCACAGAAAGAAGCTGGTAGCAACAACAGCGTTTCCGGGTTGCCTTTTCGGAGCATGAGTTACGAGCACAATACTACAATACAAGGACAGCCTCACTGCTGGCTTCTTCGCGGGGGGCCACAAGTTCGACCCATACGGCCGCACCATGTCTGAGGCCACCGGAATATTTTCCTAGAGAGGCGAGGCGAGGCAAAGATGTCGCGGCGGAAGCGGTTGCAAAGGCGTCGTGTGCAGAAAGTCTACTTGTACTTGTTGGCAGGCTTTGGCAGCGGCCGGCGTCTCTTGCCAGGCCGGACGGGGTGCCGGCTACGATGGCGCCGATGGCGTGTCAGTTGCTTTGCAGGTTACGGTGTGCGGCCATAGCGGCGCTACCAGCCGTGAAATGCTGGAGGCGAGAAATTCAGTTGAGCTCGCATTGTTCGGGTTGCCAATGTCGGTTCCTTGTCTCAGCTCTTCTGCTCTCTTCGATTGTGCCTTCCGCTTGTCGTCTGTGTTGCTTATATGGTGAAGATGCACCGATTGCCGGACAAGACATCTCAAGCAAGTGCAATGCCTGTATGACATCTGAAGAGTCTCTGCGCTGAATTTTGCCGGCAGTTTTCCATTTTGAAGTTCCGATCGTCCAGCTGTTTCGTAAGGTCTCCTAAGGCTGTTAAAGAGGGTCCAAGGCCCCGAAAAAATGACCGCAAGATGTTGACCCACTGGCCTCGGGGAACCGTGAACACCGGCGTGGGCAGATGAAGCAAGTTTCAGAATGCTTAAGACTGCTTGAGATGGCAAAAGCCTAGAGTTTCACAAAGCTCCATCCCGTTGCTTGCAGGCCTCGGATAGTCAGCTGGTGCCTCAGTACGCGATGGGTTGCTTCTGGCCGGACGGGTTGTTTTGCAGTCCACAGTGTGTTGCGAGTGCTTCCTATGTTGACACCTATCCGATCTCCAACTGAAGGTTGCCTGCTCAACTGTCTTCTGGCAAGCAAGTGTCAAGTTTCCTTTTCGTGTTGCTGCCCGCACCAGTGTTGCTTTGCAACACGATGCGACCTGGTAGCTTCGTTGGCCCAAACGTCACGGCGCTTTCGCGAGCTGCAGAGCAGACCTCCAAAGAGCACCTTGCAGGTCGCAACTGGTGGATGCTTTGGGCTGCCGAGGAGCTGCATGCTGTGTAACTGGAGAGCAAGGCGACTCGCAAGATGCAAGCGACTCCAGCCAGTCTGCGCGGGTCTGCGCTTTGGCAGGAGATGCGCTTTCCCAGATCCTGGATCGCCGATCCTATGACGTTTGAGCTGCACATAGAGATAGCTCGGAGAGCATGACACGGCAGAGTTTGAGAGCGATTGGGCCATTTTGGGCTACGAGTTTGGCCAAGAAGCTGCTGCGAGTGCTTGTTTCGAATGGGCTCATAGGCCTTCGGCAAGACCGCGCCTAACCGCAGAACTGCTTAACTACGATTGTCGAACTCGCGCTTGCGTCAGTACCTGTAGCAAAAGGAAGCTCGAGAGAAAGGTCCTAGTCCTGGGATTTGCTTTGAGGTTGGGGTTGCATATGTGGTCTGGGCCTACGCACAGGCACGGAGGAGGAGGAGGAGGAGGAGGAGAGCCTTCTGAGTATCGGCCCATCGGCCTTGGAGCGGACAGGCCCAGGGTGCCAGAGCTCCCAGACCGGAGGTTCCGTGTGCTCCTTCTTATGCTTTTCATGTAAGCATGCGCCCGGGCGTCGCTAGCTCGTTCGAGTTGAAGATGTAATCAGCTCAACTGCTGACTTGCCAAGGATTTGGTCATCATCATGTCTGGCACGAATGACATGGGCCTAGGGACAGAAATCCCGGTCGTTGCAGAGGAGTGGCATGCACCTGGGTTCTTGTGTGCTTGCCAGCCTTCGAGTCGCCAGGATGTGCAGAGATTGCACAGCATTTGTCATGACCGAGGCCATGGTCAGGAAGATAGAGTGGAGAGCGCTCATCTCCTGATGTCGGAAAGGGCATTTTTCCGAGGGTTTCGAAGCTCCGTGATCTCCCGTGCTTGCAGCAGGCGTTCCCACAGTCGCATTGGCACCACCTCCGGCACCAAGCTTTCCGGAGCAGGAGGGGCAACACCGACTTGGCGGTTCATCTCAAGTCGGAGTGGAGTGCTGTATCAGAAGAGCTGATTGCTTCCGCTTAGTCCTGTGACTCCGTCCCGTGTGACGGTATATGGGCAACTCGTGTCATCCGCCCTTCTGCTGAGCAAGCCTTGGCATGTTCGGAGCACCCAAGTGCGACACGTCAATATATGGGCTAGGCCGCATGGGAACCCAAACACATCCAGCCTTGCAGCCGAGTTCCAGGAGCTGAAGCGCCAGCTCCTGGTCGGAGAGTCGCTTGGCTTCAGCTTCAAGCCTCTGTAATTCAGGAGTTTTGGGATGTTTGAGTTGTAGGGTTGTGATGCCGAGATTAAAGACTAAAGCAAGTAGTGCTACGGCTTCGCGCGATGCTGATTTCCCTTTCGGTCGGATTCAAGAAGCGTGCAGGGTTCCATGTGCGGACAGAGTGCTGGAGGCCTTATCTGAGCTGTCAGTACCAAAGAATGTTGATCTCAGGCTTCGAAACTTCTGTCTGCACTCCGCATATGTTCGAGAATTTATTGATCCTGCAGCAGCCTGGCTTGACGAGCTGATCTGGGCGGCGTGAGACTCCACCCGACAGACTTTTGTTCTTTTGATGTTGCAAACTGAGGACCAGTTAACCTTTGGAGTAATAGTTGAAGTCAGCCCGAGAACGGCAACAAACGTCCGTGGCAGTGTGCTATTTCTTGTTTTGGCTCGCTCTCTGGTCTCTTACATGTCTCCACCTCGCCATCCAGGCAACTCGAACAGGCGAAAGGGGCTTTCTCCGGATAATGAAGATGCCTCGACAAGGGGCAGACGTAAGGTAAGGTCGAAAGAAGTTGGGTGACGAGTAAGCAAAAGAGGGATTCGAGCAAGCATGGAGAGAGAATACATCTAACGAAAACAAGGGAACCTCTCGTATGGCTACTTTGGGACGAGTATTTTGAGCCACGACAGTGTGCTCCAAAGCAGTGCTCACACCGTTCAACCGTAACCGGCTCTGATCTCAGGAGATAACGCCTGTTGTGACTTGACTGGAACCGGCTGCACAGGCTGTATCAATTAGCATGGCAGAGATTAGGCTTGTCTATGCGTTTTCCAGATGTCTGGATGGCATCGGATGAGTCGAGGTGCACGGGCAGTACTGGGATCCGGATGGCCTTCACTTCGCCCCTGCGGGCTCCCAGGCAGGGCAGGAACAGACACACAGCGAGAGAGTTTAGAACTTGACAGACAACATGGAGCTAGGAGCAGGGTACGTAGTACTGAGTATTGGAAAAGGATGCGAGCTCTAAGGCTCTGAGCGTTGGCCGAAGTCTTACAGCGTCACGCACACACCAACACCCACCGCACAACTGAAGCTCATCGGGCATTGCATGCCAAACGGAGTCTTTACAAGCAGCTTTCAGTTACACGGGAAGAGGCCTCAGGCCAGGTCCAGGTAGAAGGAGAGTCTCGCAGACAGAACAGCACATCCGCGTAGCAGTTAAAGTCCAACAATCCAACAGCTGCCACACAGCCCGTCCTTCCAGTACCCATATCCACATCGCCAAGTCCACCCTGTAGCTGTGGTCGGTGAATGATTCAAGGATACGCCAGGTCTGACCTGCCAAATATGCCATCAGTGCACGGTGTCACTACAACCGTGCCGGCAGTAGTTTCAGTACGTGAGCCACCTCAGTTATCAATTTCGTGGAGCCTTGCTACGCTTGCCAGCCAGAGCCAGCACTCAGCTGTGGTTTCGCGATGTAGGCACTGGGGCTCGCCCTCGCCAGCCTCCTGTCGCAGATTGGAGAAGTCAGTGGCTCAATAGCTTGCGCTGCCAGGTGAGTCCGGCGCGAAAACTCTTTATTCCATCAGTCTGGCCAGGTGGGCTGCCCTTGAGAGAGCCCAACAATATCTTTCGTCACGGCTGCCGAGCTTGCATGCAGTGAAGTCTCTGTCGTCGACCCGAATGCAACGGTGTGCGATTGATGCCCGCATTTGTCACATGAAAGCGCAGGTTGCCCGGCACAGCAAGCACAACAGGTGAATTCGCTGAACTCTTCCAGGTTCAATCATTTCCAATGTGTTTGTAAGTGGGCCATTGTGCCATTTCAGTCACCAAAGTTGCGGAATGGAAAGTTCGGCTGGGCAACTAATCCGCTTTTGATTCTGCAACTTGCGACGTGTTATGTGTTTTGGATGCTAGCCGACGGAATGCCCGAGTAAAGCAGCCCTACACTTTCCATCCCAGCACTCACACAGCCTGGTGAACTTGTGAATAGCATCATCTGATCTGAACGCAGCCCTGATGGCTCAGAATCCCGTTGCTGTCACACAGGTGCGGAGCTTGTCAAGTTCGTCCTGAAGTGGATATCGGAGGAACGTGTTGCTACCTCGGGCAGCAGGTCCGGGGACAACTCGCTAAGAATGATTTCCGCACCTCGCAGCATGCGCCCATTGATGGCATTTTTCAAGTCTCAGTGCATTTCGTTTGGAGGGACAATGGTTCCGACGAGCTTCAAACATTGCACTAATCAATATCTGTGTATTCAGAATTTCGGCTTCTCTTGACACGCAAACTTTGCTGAGGAGTGCAAGTTATTGCTGAGATGTCTAAAGCCATGATAGCAATGCGTGCCGACACGGGATCAGGAGACACCGATCCAGCTCAAAGCTGCTCCAGTCGAAGCAGTCTCAATTCATTTCAATTGTGCAGTTCCTTGGGCCGACAATGGTTTGGCCGTCAGATGCAGGCCGCCCTCCGCTGTCACGGCCGTGACTTCTGTGGCGCTCCGGAGTCCTAGAGCTCGAGCCTCGGGCCCGAGCGAAATTCGCGCACGGCCCCGTGCGGCGTAGGGGAGACCTTTTGGATGTTATGGTTCCACCCGGCTCCATGCCAGGGCATCTGTGGCCGCACTCGAGCGTGAGCACCTTTGACCGGGCTCGTGTGTGGGACCGTTGCCCATGCTGTGGCACGACCCGATTCGTTCGAGATTCAAAAAAGCTGTCCGCAGCTTTCTTGCATTACATGGACTCCTGCTGGGCCGCATAGTGCATCCGAGCTGCAAGATGCACGCAAGACGATGAAGGGATGACGCTTCGTTTCTTGCGCTCCGGCACAGGCCTTCTTCGCTTTGCGCTTGCTGAGGGCAAGGGCCAGGGCATGTTGCTGATCGTAGTTGTCCGGACCGATAGCAGTTTTGCGGTTTCCCAGTTCCGTCAAGAGTCAGGTCCTGTCAGTTTGTGCTGAGTTGTGTTTCGGCCTGTTTCGACGGTTTCGCAAGCGGCGAGTAAAACGGCTTCTCATCCTGACGCGCAGCACTTCCCTTGGCAGCGTCTTTGCAGCTCGCTGGAACTTGCCTGAACTCTTCGTCCCAAGTCAAGTATGGGCACCACGGAACTGTTTCTGACTAGGTGCTGTCCTACCGCAGAGCCCGGCTGGGCACATGCCTCAGCGGAACGAACGAAAGCTTCCCCCCAGCTACTTGTGTGTGGCGGCACAGCTAAGGAAGTCGAATGTGGAGACCACCCCGCAGGCTGGAGTTCAGCATTGAAGAGATCCGTCGGTTCGTGATCGCGTCGATGCAAAAGAAGTACTGGGTGCCTAGCACGACCACCAAACGGAACCAATGCCGGAGGTTCAAAAACTCCTGGAACTGGAGAAGGAAGCCTCGCAGGCAACCTTTGGATTTCGAGAGAAGACTTTTTGGCAGTACACATTCGATGGCAGCTCGCCCGGTGCTTTTGCCGTGGTGATGCAAGGGAAGACTTAGAGGCAATGAGCTGTTTGATCTGAGTTTTTTACACGAGTTAGTTGCCCTCGTCAGATTTCCGGCAATCTGCAGGAGAACCTCAGTCTCTTTGCAAGCTAATTGCTCTTGCTTCTCTTTCTCATGTTTCCTTTGCTTCTGGCGTTTAGCTTCCTCTCGCGGCCTTTTCTTCATGCTCCTTCCGCTCCCGCAGGTCCTGTTGCCTGGTCAGCCAGACGAGGCAGCTTAATTTTTTCTGCCACCCACAGGCTGTAGACTTCAGACGTAACCACACAGTGCACTGTGTGGTTTTTCGACCCAAGCAGTCGCGAGGGTGGGTTGCTGCGAACATCGGGTGAGACTCTCGGTGGTTTTCGCGCTCGGGCAGGTTCGACAACGAGAGGATGCTGCTCAGCGTGCAGAAGCCATGCGAACTCAAGAAGCTCGGGTTGCGGAGGAGGCGCGCGTGGCAGAGGAGGCACGGCGAGCAGAGGAACGCAAGGTCGCCGAGGAAGCCAAGCGCATGGAGGAAGAGAAGCAAGCAGAGCAAGCCAGGCTTGCGGAGGAAGCCAGGCTCAAGGAGGAAGCAAGGCTTGCGGAGGAAGCGAAGAGTGCGGAAGAACGACGACTCGCAGAAGAGGCAAGGCTCGCCGAAGAAGCGCGCATGGCGGAAGAGGCCCGCATTGCGGAGGAAGCGAGGCTCGCGGAAGAAGCACGCTTGGCAGAAGAGGCCCGAATTGCCGAAGAAGCAAGGCTCGCCGAAGAAGCGCGCTTGGCTGAAGAGGCCGCAGCCTTCGTGCAACAGTGAGAGGAGATCAGCATGTCACCACGCAGCTGATATGGAGCAGTATGGGAGTCATGAGGAATTGAGGGATCTCGAATGAAGAAAGCTCACCGGCCTTGGGCGACTTTAGGGCAGCAAGCTTCCGGCAAAAATCTCCTTTAACGGCTAATGTGGAGGCTCGGCGTGCGGAGTTCGAGGCCAAGCTGCGCGCGGAGATGGAGGCTCGAGCTGCGCGGGGTCTAAGTCCAAGAGTCTAAGTAAGACAGAGGAAGGAAGCGAGCGAGTGCAGGTCCTCAGGCACAGGTCTGAATCTTGAGTTTTTAAATGCGGCTGAGGCAAAACGCGAGTTGTTACTGCCATGGCATTGTCCACCCATGTGCCAGACCCAATGCTTGAGCAGGCGAAGGAGAAGCAAGTGAACCAGCGGGTTGACGGAGATGGCTGCATCACCTGGGAGGTGTCTTGTCATGCTTTCGGGAAATGAGGGCAGAGGGGAGCATAAAGGTTTGTCTTACGTCGCTGCAGTGCCACAGCTCGGTGAGCACCGCCACTCCTCCCAAGTACTATCTCTGTACCCCTCCGAACCCAAGCTAGGCAGCTTTAGCAAGAAGGGGTGGGTTCAGGTCGACCTGATGAAGAACGAAGGAGAGGCGTTTGGCTTCTCCCACAGCAAGGCCAAGGCTGGGGTCGGTTGGTTGCAGCTCTGCAGAGTTTCGAAGCCATGTCGAGTCCTTTGAAGACTTGTGCTTGTGCCGCTGCTTCTGGCTCAGCTGTGGCACATGCTGGCCGTGGACACATGGACGCAAAGTCTTTGACAGACCTCTTATCTGCGTTAGATGGCGACTCTGCCGTGCACCTCATCTTGGAGGTGTTGAAACTGCGACCAGCCCTGAGCCCTGCGGTTGTGGGCTTTGCCTGTCCGGCACTAACCTATGCCCCCGCACGGGGGATGATGGAGCGTCGCTGCCGGGGTGTAGTGAGGCAAGTGGACCGCGCCCAGGGATTCGGCTACATCGCGAGCCCCGAAATCGAGGCTACCTTCGGGATGGACGTCCTCGTCCGCGAAAGCCAGCTCAGAGCCTTTCAGGCTGGTGACGAGGTAAGCTTCACATGCGTCTTGAATGAGGAGCAGAAGCCCCAAGCGTTCGAAGTTCTAACCGCAAATGGGATGCCACTTGCGGCCGTGGCGCCTGTGCCAGAATGGACTGACTGGAACCACTGGGCGGACGGGAACGATCCCAAAAAGCGCAGACTGTAGTCAGCTTCATCTCGATGCAACAGTCACGCAGCCAAGTGAGCGGCGCATGCGCCTGGCGGAGGCACCGAAAACCGCTTTCTGCGTGAAGGAACAAGTCTGCCGCGATTTTGCTCCGCTTCCGCCAAGCCATGTAGACTCGGCGTGGATCAGAGTGAGCTCAGACCGTGCCAGAATGAGTTGTCCTTGTGGATGCTTTCGCAGGCAGAGTTCAGTCGCGCCCGTGGTTTGCCACCGTCGGATGAAGTTGGGCGGAGCCCTCAATGCCACGAAGGGTGACAGAAGCTTTAGACCAAAAACTTCATACCCTGCAGGCATTTTGGTATGTCAGAATCGTAATTCCTTTAGTTGTGGCAGTCGCGGTTCGAAGCCATTGCTCATGAGCAAAACGTAGGATTGCCGAGCAAAGCCGGGCTTGTCAGTCCTCATGCCACCAGGGGTCACTTCATGTTCTCCTCCTGCAGAAGTCCTCAGGGGTAGTCCCTGAAACAAGCAAGGAGGTCGCGAAGTACTCTTTACACCGCTCGAGCCTTTTGGGCTCAAGTCCCCGGGGAGTCGGCCCAACGTTGGCTGCGAGGAGACGCTTCGGCTTGGATGCTTCAAGGTTACGGTCTGTGGTCAGGTTCAGCTGCCACATCTGCTGCGAAAGAGCAGTGCAGAGCTGCTTGACGATTGGCACGTCCGGTTATCTCTCGCAGCTGCCAGGAAGCCGCGACGAGGGCGCGATGAGCCGAGCAGTGCTACAGGTCTTCGAAGAGTACCAGAAGGCGGGGGCAGAGGGCATGGGTGGCTGGAGCACAGCTCCGAAAATGGTCAGGCGCGGGTGACCTTCGTTCAGACCGTGGCCGACCTTGCGACCAGGTGCTCGCATCGCTTTCGGGCTTTCCGGGGCCGACACAATCGCCACCAGGCCGCAGAACATCGATGCCTTGACGAATGCTGGAGTGATGGCGCTCCTCAGGCGGGGAGCGGCCTTTGCGGCTAGTGGCATTCATGGCACCCTTTCGGTCTTGCGGTGCAGCTCCGAGGCCACTGCTGCTGGACTCCGTGGCCTCGCCGGGATCTCGCGATAGGATGCAAGTGGGAGAAGAACGTTTGAGACCGCTTGTGCGTCGGACACGAGGATCCAGCAATCTGCGGCCCTGGCTTTGGGTCGGATGGCCAACTATTCGGAAGAGCTCGCCGAGTCGGTGGGACCTGGAGGTCTGATGTAGTGCTGTTGCGCTGTGACTCTGCAGGTGGTGACTCACGAGATCTTGCCACAGCTGGTATACTCCCTAGCGCAGCAGAACCGCTACTTGGACACATTGTCCAGCCTGGCATTGACAGATAAGGAGACTGCTGCAATGGAAAGGCTAAGGCTAGGGCCAGGGCGAGATGAGTGCGTTGTTGAAGGGTGCAGGGTGAAAGGTGACATCTTCCCATCAAATGCTTGAGGCGTGCCAGAGGGCACTGCATCGATCCAGCCCCAAGGGTGGGGGGGCCCTCAGACCTACAGTTTGCAGCAGTTGCAGGCCTTGTTAGCTGCGTCTTCATTTTCGCTTGGCTTTTCCATTTGCAGTCACTTTCAACTTTTGGAGAAGCGTCGCATGAGTTGCAATGTCCCGGGTCGCTAGTCAGCATGGCAAGCATTTCACTGTTGAGCGCACAATCCTTTTGGGCACTTGACACTTCCCGGACCGGAACCGGCAAATGGAGGATTTGAACCCAATGTCGCATCCATGAGGATGACAGGCCTAGCGAAGTCGCGAGACGTTGTGGGTTTAGTCTTGCCCACCAGTTCCCGACAAACGACGACGCCAAAAAAGTGGAGCCACTGTGCAGACGGATGAGAACTGCCACCTTAAGACTGCCGCGACCAGGTTTTTACAAGAAGGCTGCTGCGTTTGTTTTGCGGGCAGTCGCGAAGCACTCGCCGCCTTTGGCGCAGGCGCCCCGTCGAAGCCCAGTTTGCTAAGAGGGCCTTCTTCCTTCGCTAGCGACGCTGACAGGCCGTCATCGATTCGGGCGCCCTGGAGGCTTTGGTCATGTGCTTGGAGGCGAGGGCGATTCTGAGCATCAGACCTGCGTTCAGCGCGGTGATTCGAGGAATTTGACCCCACCGTCAAGGAAGCTGCAGCTTGGGCTTTGGGATACATCGCCTGGATCCCGGTTTGCGGTTTCTTCGGGCTCTCGGCAAATCGCCGGTGTGGTGGGCCGAGGCGAGGCACAGCAAAGACCTGGCGCAAAGGGTCGTAGATGCTGGTGCCGTGCCTCTCCTCGTACTCAGTTTCCAGGACGGGTCTATGCACGGATCTTTGGTGTCAATCGGCCTTGCAGGAACTTGCGCCAGGGAAGGATTTCGCCTCTTTGCCTCGTGAGGAGCCTGAACTGACCCTGAAGCGCATCACTGCCTCAGCGCCGTGGCGGTTTTATGATGCTCTTTTCTGCAGTTTCAGTCGATGGATGCTTCTGGAATCTTCTGCAGGCTCTGAGTGACATCTCGAAGCACAGCCCGCAGCTAGCACAACTGGTGGTGGATGCAGGCGCCGTGACACTCCTCACCAAGGCGAGGCCCCAAACACATCTAAGAAACCTAAGATACTGCAGTAGTTTGGGCTCTTTCGCTTTGCAATGCAAGTGCTGGGTATCGGGCCTGCACTGCCTGCACTAACGGCTGGTCTCTCTGGCGCAGGAAGTTTCGAACAACGATGCCCCTCTGAAGCGGCAAGTCTGCTCATGCTTGTCGCAGATAGCCAAGCATTCTGAATCTCGGCTTCCATTGAGCCTAAGGGACGGTCAAAGAAGCCTTGTGACGCCAGCCTCTTTGACCTTCACCGGTTGCGAAGCAAGATGAGCCGGCCATGACGTTGGGAAGGTCGACCTCGCGGAAGTCGTTGTCGAGTCTGAGATCTTCCCAACGATTCTGCACTGCTTGAAGGATGTCGACGAGCAGCTTTAATGATTGATTTTCGCTCCATCAGATCATAGCATCGTAGCATTGCCGTCCGTTTCAGCTTCGGCACTAGAAAACACCTTTCCTTGCTCTTTTGTGGGCTTCGTGGTTACAAGGCTGAGAGTGGTAAATGTCTGTATGCCGGGTTCACGCAGTGCAACTGCCGTGTCCTGACCCCGCCGCAGGACGAATTGGCTTTTCCTTCCGACCCCTAGCGCGACTCGAAACCTTCAAGCGAGCATGTAGCAGGGTTCGTAACCGAGCAAAAGAGGTTTCCATCACATGCTTGCAGGTAGGAAGAACCCTGTGCATGAGCTCCAGCGCGCAAAAGTTACGTCTGCACAGCTCCAGGTCTGTCCGGAAGAATGCTGCCACCTGTATTCGCCGCTGGGTTAGAGATGTGTGCCAGAGTTTGAGGGGATGGTAGGAGGAACGGTATGAGTCTGGGCATCAGACTGGTGACAGGCATGCTCGCTCAAACTAAACTTCCCTGCGTGGTAAGATGCGGCCAACATCCTTGTCAGGATGCTTCTTCGGGGTGTTTAGGCCCTTCGTGACAGATGCAAGGATGAATGAGCATGAGAGAACTTTACTGTCTGGTGTTTCAGGAGAGCTTTCCAGGCATACCCCAGACTTGGCCAAGCTGATTGTGCCGTAGCTGCACGAAAGCTTTCCGTTCATTCAAGGTTATACAATTTATAGAATCCTCTGACAGCGAGACCGTATCGAGTGCCACAGGTAAATGCTGGAGGAATCGCTGCGATGGTCGATTTCGTAAATGAAGCTCGTGGGAACTGCAGCAGCTCGCCTTGTTCTGGGTCTGGTATGCTAGCATGAAACAAACGCTGTCCTTGCTAGCAAGCCCAAACACATTGATGATTGTTACAAGGATTGCCGGGCATCATGACCTTGGGCCGCTTGTCCGGACTTAGAGTCAGAAGAGGCAATCAAGTGCTGCCCATGTCGTGCAGGCTATGTGGCTGCTTTCTCCGAGACGCTGGCATTGGCCGTTGTCCCACGAACGCAGAATGGTTCCAGTCAATTAGTCGTAAAGATGGGTTTGGGCTGTGTGGACAGGCTCCGTGGTTTTTCGCTTGTCATGACCCTACATACATTGTAAGGGTGGTTGCCCGGTTCGCTTTTCTGAGTGCTTCTTAGCGTCTTAGCAGCCAGCGTCTGCCGGTGAAGCAACGTGCAGGTGGTTTCGAAAGGAGTCCCTCCCTTGAAGGATGCGCTCATCAGCGAACCGGAGGACGACTTGCAGCTTGTGACAAGTCAGAACGAGAGCTACCTACCCGGTCCGTTCTTTGCCTGCAGGATCATGTCAAGGCTGCGGCCGCGTGGTCACTGGGCCAGATAGGCAAGTAATATCACGTAATCACATTGCATTCCAAGTTCATGTCGCATCCGCCCGTGCAGCTCACAGAAACATTCGTTCGACTCTTTCCGAGATGCTTCTTCTGAGAGGCCGTCACTCCCCGGATCATGCGAGGGCATTGGCCGAGGCAGACGTGCTGCGGAGGCGCCGGACCTATGTCACACTGGGAAATTGTGGTGTGGAACACTGTGGAACCTTGAGAAGTTATGCACATGCCCGGCCATGTTGCAGGATGCTTGCTGTGTACCTTCACCAGGAGCTGTCAGTGCACGAAGGCATGCAGTCTTTTCAGGTAGAAGTTTTTTTGTCTTGGGACAGCGTGAGTTCGGTGTGAGACGGGGTCCTGTGATGTGCTCACCCCTGCTTATGCTTAGGATGTGTTGAGTCTCAGAGGGCGCTGAGGTGTGCTGCAAACACACGTTCTACTGGGCGGCTCGTTGTGGCAGAAGACCATCTGTGGCCCCCAGTTGGGTTTGCCTTTGAGTTTGTTCGAGATGAGCGATTCTGTGAGCGTCTGCATTCACGCTATGCCGCTATGCCTCCTGATAAGCTGGCCTGCCGTTGTGCGCCCTTGCATAGCGAGATCCTAGAGGATGGCACGGCAGAGAGAGAGAGAGAGAGACCCGGCTGAGATGAGGCGGGGGGATATGTAGGCAGTAATAAGGGGTTTGCAGTTTCGGACCCGAGGCCTCATCTCAAAGGGTAGGAACGAACCGAGCCAGAGACTCCAGTGCGCGGACGCGCGCGGGGGGGGGTCGGGGGGGCAGGGACCTGCCTTCCTTCGGCTGTGCAGAAGAGCCGGCTCTGCCAGCTCCCTTGACCCTGTGCAAGAAGAGCCGGCTCTTCCTTTGGCTGAGATGAAGAAGAAGGAGCGAGAGAGCAACAGTGCGAGAGTGTGATGACGCTTCGCACCGTATGATGTTGGTTGGTTCGGATCAGAAAGTCAAAAAGTAAGTCCACCTAGCCGGCAGGACTCCAGTGAGGATCTGCAGATCAAGACCAAGCGAGCCCTGAAGCTTTGCTGAACTTGAAGTGTTGATGGTTTTGATCGCGTGCCAAGGCTTAAGGGTGAGAAAACAGCTCTTCGACTTACACGTCCTTTGCCCTAGAAGAGCTGGGTCCAGGTGGAGGAAGCTTGGAGAGTTTGCCGGCCCAGGAAGAGCATCATCCAGAAGTGTACGCACCTGCCAGCTCTCGAGCCGCTTATCGACTCCCCACCGAACATCTTGAAGTGCCTTTGTGGAAGCATCATTGCACTGCAGAAGCAGAATGCTGGGAATTTCTTCAAGATGCTGTGTTGTAAATGTCGCCGAGGTATGTAATCCAGCAATTTGCTAAAGTCTTGCCCAACGACATAGACGCCCGGCGGGCTTTCGTGCAATCCGGCAGCCTGCAGAAGGTGCAGGAGGCTCCGTCATGCATTAGTCCTCTGCAGTCCTTCCGTCTCGATTTTTAGTCCTGACGTTTGCACATGGTGCCGGTCCCGTGAGGTTGGCGCAGAAACAGGGTCCAAGCTGCAGGCCGAGCCTCGTGCATTTCGCATTTGAAGAATGGAAGTTTGTGGGGCTGAAGGTGAGGCTCTCGCATGTCTAGCTGGACTTGCACTGTGCCTGATCAATAACGAAGGTGTAGTGATGCAGCTTTGATTTCATCCGAGCACCTGTTTCGGAGGATTTCATCGACTCCATCAACATGCTCTATCCTCCAGAGATTGTACAGTATTACTCTCCGAACTACGTCGCGTCCTCGTGGGCGCATGAGGTGCCTCAGTTACGAGTTTGCATCTGGCTGGGCCTCAGGCGGACAAGCTGCTGTCTAAGATGGAGGAGTTCAATCCGAGTGGTTAAGGCTTGTCATGGCAAGTGGAAATGAGATGAAGTGAGGGCCCATCTTCAGTGAGACAGGTTCAGGTATTGGATCACAGATGGTTAGGCTCGTTGCCTCCACGCATCCTGATCGGTAACTTAACTTCTGCTGGTTCCAACCTTCAAAGACCCCGTTGGCTTCCTGTAGGTTTTATTGATCATGTTGACCACGCTCCTGGGCCTGCCGTGCTCAGGGGACAGCTTTCGCTTCGTCCTGGCCGTTTGCCCGTCCGAAGCACCTGACAGCTCCGGAAAGAAAGCCGAGTAAGAAAAAAAGAATGTGTGCACATTGCTCAAGGCCTGTCCATTTCTTTGCGGGGCCAGAAGCAGAGCATAATTACCCATACAGGGTACAATTCGTGAGTGCAATACGGTGATGCATGGTGATGCATGTGTCTGAATTCAAGCCGTCTTGTGATATGTGTGGAGCCACTGACTGCTCCAGAGAGCACAATGCTCCTTGTTCATTTTAAAACTGATTCTGAGCTTCATGCTCCTCGCCAAGGCTTTAGGGGTGCTCTCTGCACAGTTTGGGCAGAATCGTCACAGATGCGCGAATCCTCGGCGCTGGCATGAAGTTGCAAGGATAAGTCTGCGGCAGCTGCAGCTGCCCCGGGACTCAAAGATTCCTTGGTTCCAAGAGCCCGTTAATCACTGGGCTCCTAAACTCATAGGACTAGGAGGTGCTGCACCGAGGTCACCTCGGAGTGCAGAAGGTAGAAGATGATCCTAAGCATAGCTTGGATCCAGCGATGAGGCGTTGCCCTCCGTGAACATGTGAGGCGACGCGCCAATCAAGCGCTGCTAGAAGCACGCTGCCAGGAGTCTCACTGCTTGGCATGGCGAAAAAGCAATGCTTTCGCAGTGGTGGCTTGGCCGGATGCCCCCAAGCCGCTCGAAGGCCTGGAGCACCGAATTTTTGCGAGAGGGCTGCACCCCCCCGGCGACAGTTGGGGAGTTCGAACCCGCTTAGGCCGGACATGCTGTTCATCAACGCAATTGTTTCGGCCTCAGTGGCGAACAGAAAAGGGGAGAAGAGAGTGGAAAGTAAAGTCTTTCAGGGTCGGAGAGCTCACAGCGCATGCAGCGAGGAATCCTCATCCGAACTTTCTGAGACACTATGTCACGGCCTGTCGCAGGCCCCGGCTGGCAAGCTCGGTGCCTGGAACGAGGAATTCTCTTTCGCAAAGGCAGCTGAGCGGCATCACCACGAGTGCCGGCTGGCTTAATGGCTTTCGGCTGTGAATTCCTTTCCCCTGCAGGTGCAGCCGTGCGATTATGTCGCTGAGGTCAACGGCGTACCAGGGCTCAAGGCCACAGACAAACAACACATTCAAGAGACCCTATAGGGCTTGACAGAGTTTGGTTGCTGCTGTTAGCAGGCGCATATGTAACTCAATGCAGTCCTTGGTCAGCCCCGACGTGGCTCGAGTTGGCGTGTAAGCTCCAATCAGAGACCGAACCGACGTTTCAAGAGCCATGCGGTCAGTCTGCATCGTGCTCGGGCTTGTGGCACTTGGCAACTCGTTACAGGAAACACCTGAGGACAACGATGGCCAGTGCCTCTTGTCAAAGAAGCGAGTTGCTCGCGTGCCGAATGTCGATATGTTAGCCAGCAGCGCGCACCCGAAAGCCAGGGCCCAGCACACATCGGTACTCCAGAAAGGTGCAAAAAAGTCAGACCCATTGGACAGCATCGATTGGGACCAGCAGCTCCATGAGTACAGGATGGTCGCCGACGACGTTGCACCTGTGGACAAGAAGCATCGATGTCCCCTTCGCAGGATGGATGCTCAGAAGGTTCGCGATGAGGAGCTGGATAAGCTTGACAAGCCCGCGATTTTGACAAATGTTTTCGACCCCAATGAGCATTGGACCTCAGACTTCTCGAAGGTGGGGCTACCCAAAGTAGGTCGGCAGGCCAAACAGATTAGTGAACTTGTCCGCAGGCCGAGCTGCTGGACCGCTTCGGGGACTTTGAGTTGTATGATTCGGCCTTCGACCATTTGGGCGCCGGTGCCTTCCTCCGGGACCATATCGATGATGTCGAAACCGTTGAGGATGCCACCAAAGCCAACCAGCCCGGCAACCTGATCTTCTTCGAGGACGAGGTGCCCTGCTGTCATTGCTTGCTGGAGGGTTCTGTGGCTGCCTTGGGTGTTAGCAGGTGGCGGACATGATGGTCACCAAAATCCTCGAGTCTGTGACGAAGAATCTCCCTGAAGACTCGCGCTATGTGGTTTTGCCGAAGGAGCCCGCCGGGCCTGCACATTGCAGTTTGGGTCCCCTGCAGCTGCTTACGCAAGGACACCGAGGGCACCTGGGAGAACCGCGGTGTTTCCTTCGGGCACCGAGGCCCGGGCCTAAGCCAGAAAGCTCCAAGTGCACTGCAGAATACTGAGCATGGCCGCATGGCCTCGCCGACTGGGCTTGTCGCTAAGGTCAGTGGAACCAGATGCACATCCACAACCGCTTTATCTTCACACAGATTCTAGGAAGCAAAGGTTGGGTCATGTCACCGGCCCAGGCGTTCCCGGAGGATGCCGAAGATCGCCATTCAGTCATTCCCATAACTCACCCGGCAATGTGCAGTCCCTTCTTCAAACGCGACCAGAAGCATAGCTATGCACCGCACAAGCTGGGAGTGGAAGACTACATCCAGAACCAAACAGAGGCAGGTGTCGAGTGCGTGCTTCACGCAGGAGAGGCTCTGTATGTTCCCGGCCACAGCTATGACCTAAGCTGGTGGCATGGCACCTGTGATTTGGGTGACTGGAATGCTGGGGTCACTTCCATATTCCACACTCGCGGCAAGCAGTGAGCTTCCTGGCACGCCCATGCGAAGTGAGCTCGTCGTTCCTGCGGCCGGGTCATGTTAAGAGGTCTGTGAATACTAGAATACCTCCGGTCTCTTTGTTTTTATCTTGAAGCAGAGTTGCAAGGCAAAATGCCATGCATCCCTGGCGACATCCTGAAGGGATCTGTGCAACGTAAAAGTCTGGCATTTCCTCAGATCTTCCCTGAAGCAGCCCTCAGTTTTCAGCGGGAACATACGACGCTTTTATTTCGTGATTCTGGGGGCAGCGTAGGTTCAGGCTTCGGGCTCTACTTCGGGACTCCTGCTGCTTCCACTTGAGCTGCAGGACATGTCCCAAGAGCTCCAGAAGCGTGCGGCGGTGCGTCTCCGAATTCTGCGCTTCCCGCCGGTCTTTGAGGCCTGACGTAGTCTGAGTCAGACCGCTGTGCCTCGTTTCTCATCTTCTCGTGACATGCCGTCGCCATCTGGACCCTCGTCGCCTTCTGAGCCTTTCGCAGGTCAACCTGCCAGCGGGACAGGAGGCCACAACATCTTCAAACGCTGAGAGTCGCTTGAAGCGCCAGATCTGTGCGGCCCCTCTCAGCCAGATTCCTTTTCCGAGTTGACGCCCATCTGTAAAATGAGCTTGTTGCAGGCCCCGGGACGAGTGGTCGGCCTGAAGCTGACCTGGCCTGTTTAGGTTCTCAAAAAGTCTGGGTGGCCCATGGCATGCACCATGTGTCCTGGAGGGTTTGTCAGGTGTGTTTTTTGCCAGGTATGACCCTCCGATGAATGACAGGGACACGGGCTTGACGATCAAAGATATAGTGCCTCCTGAGCCCAAATCTGCCGGCCTTAGGGCGACGAGGGTAGCAGCCGGGGAAACGCTTGCTCGGAAAGGTACCAGACAGCCGCATGGATCACCACAACAGGAGCTGTGTTGAGTTTGGACCTTACGACCCATGACTCGCTGTCCGACTCAACCGACAGTGGTGGAATGCCGTGCAGGGGGAGCCGCTTCCACTTGGTGGTGATGACTGGCTTTCGAATCGAGGGTGCCTGTGCTGCAGTTATCGCAGCCGCTGCTTTCGGTAAAATGGTTAGAGGGTGCCGCTTGAAGCCAAGCGGCCCCATCAAGTCACGACTAGGTGGGTTTGAGTTTGATGCGGTGGCGCGAGTTGCGAGTTTTCTTGATCTGTTTAAGTTTTGCTCGTATCTGCAAGCCTCTCCTATCCGACTCCAACGGCTCACCTCCGACACTCCCGGTCCTTTTCAGGAGTAAATGGAGTTCACGGGGCCGGACAGAAGCTTCAGCGAGCTCTCCTTGAGGCCAGGCCCTGTCTGCTTCAGCACAGTGTAGCATCCCGCGTTACGCGTAGCAAAGGAGCAGCGAGCGCCTGTGAAGTTTCGCATGGAAGCTTTCTTTGGCTCGCAGCGCTGCGCTCGCCAAACGTCCGTTGATGCACGGCACCACTTCATATGCGAAGCGCGGCACCATGCCACAACATGGAAGACTAGTGCTACTGCAGACCTGACGTACGGACAGCCCAGCCCTGGCTTCCTGAACATGCCGTGCTGCCAGCCGGGGCTCTAAGAGATGTTTGCACAGGATTATGACATCGATGCCGTTCGACCGCAAATTGGCCAGGGCAGAATCCTTTTCGCTGGGGCCTTCACCGTTTGTCAATCAGTTCCTCAGTGACAATGCACACGATCCACCGGTTGTGAAGCCTCTCTTTGCGAGTTGCTTGAAACATACTCGGTTCACTCGATTTTCTGCGTGTAGCAGCCGGAAAGAAGCAGGTTCCTAAACGAGTTGAGGGTCTTGCTCGTGAGTGACTCAGGACGAGCTTTCTGGTGATGACCGTGGGCGCTCACCTCGAGGTGCTGGCGGCTACGCCACCCGCGCTGCGGACAATGCCGAGCGCCGCATCGCGGATGCGCCCTTGCCATGGATTGGGAAGGGAGGGCCGCAAGGGACCCGGACCTGGTTTGATCGATGTTGCGAGCGGGAGCCAGGGTCGAGAGCCAATGCACTTCGGGGGTCGTCGCCGCGGCCAAAAGATGGCCCCGTGGATGGGCCAGGCGGGACATAGTCGGAGGTGGCTGAGCTGGCTCAAGCGCTTTCAGAAGCTTTGTTGGTCAGAGGCCTTTGGAGCAGCGCCAGCAGAAGAGAAGCCGGAGCTGTCCGGCTTGGACCGGCTTGTGCTGTGAAATACTTCGACACTGTGTCGTGATGCACCATGCAACCTGCGCTGCAGATTCTCTGCCGCCTGGCCTTCGTGCCGTCGTGGTCACACCTGGCTGCAGGACACCCGCCGGCCCAAGGAGAAGGTGTCAGAGCTGAGAGACACTTGCTTGCGATGGCTTTGGCAGTTCTCTCGTTGGAAGGTCTTCAAGCCGGGTTTCTCGTGCTTAGGACTACTCTTCACGGCTGTGGAATGCTGGTGGTGCCCTGGCGGCCGGCGCCGAGCCGCCCCCCACTGCGTCAGTGAAGCGGAATGCCGTGGAGGCATGATTTGATGCAACGGGGAGTGTAGCTAGTTCAGTCGCTGCGTCTTGTGCGGAGCACGGGTGTGGCCGGCTTCCCAGCTGAGTCGGAGCAGAGCCTGGGTTCAAAAAAAAGGTCCAGGCCTTGTGGAGCTGTGCAGGACCGGGAGCTTGCGCTCCTGACGGGCAGACAACGCACCCCCGGGCCAGCAGTCTCAGACTTGCTGTCATCGTGTGGTGACAATCCTTCTTGGACCTTGGCTTGAGAACTGAGCACAGACCTTTAAGGACCGGCGTGCGAGAACATCAGGAGGACAAAGAGCCTCGAAGCCTCAAGGAGACGGAAAAGAGTTCCACAGGGAAGGATAAGTCAGAAAAGACCAAGCACAAGCATGGCAAAGAGAAAAAGAAAGAGAAGCACAAGGCGAAAAAACACAAGAAGGACAAAAAGGTGGGCGCTTCAAAGTCAGCTCTCCGACAGCATTCTCCATGTTCTGTGATCAGCTGGTCGCTTGGCTCGTGTAATCCCGGGAGGGCAAGAAACGAAAGAAGTCAAAAGACAGCTCCTCATAGCAGCGAGGTGAAGGCAGGACTCCAATGTTTTCCGAAGTGGGCATTGGCAGCTAGACCAGCTGGAAACCATACGAACAATCTTGTTGGCTGCTGGAGTGGAATGTTGCGAAGGTGTCTGCAGCACGTCTGGCATCACTTGCAGCAGTGTCTTGCCAACGTTGCAACTGCAACCCACTGGACGGCACAAGTGAGGACGTAGCTGGGGGCCTTGTCCAGTAAGCCAGTAAGCGCTTCAGGGCAATAATTTCTGGAAGCTGGACGGTGTCTGCTAATTGCTGTCCCTCTTGCCGTGCTGCATGTACATAGGACCGTGGAGACCAGAGTCAAAAAAAGCTCTGTGCAGAGTCGGAGTTACTGTAGCACTAGTAGGAAGAAATCGTGCTGGTATGGAGTCTAGTTTTGGTCTGGAGCTTGAGGTTGCGAGCAGGACTCCCATCTGCCTGGGCAAGATATGACAACTGTCAGCTCGAGTTGGCAGGCGCGATCTGGGCCTATTCATCTGACGATCCGCCGGGTCGGACCCTTGGAGTTGCAGTTGCCCGCACACAACGAAAAAATTCGCTTGGCCTGGGAACGGCCGGTCTCGCACCGCGTGTCTGCAAAGCACAGCAAGTCATGCGAGTAGTTGTGGTTGATGCGCCAAAGCCCTCACACAGCCATAAAGCTTTATCCTTGTCTCATGCTACGACCAGCCGGGTGTGTGCGGTTGCTCATGCAGTTGCTCTAACGTGCTTGGAGGTCAATGTTTACAGTACATGTTTCGACACTGACACGTGGTGGTTGTAATGGTTGGCGTCGCTGTGGTCGTTTTCGTGATGGTTTAAAGGAGGTTGCAAGTAGCATAGTGAAACTTTGATTCACTTCAGAACCAACGGACACTGCAATCAATAGCCGGATTGATGCAAGTATGGGGAAAACCGCCCAGAGGGTCGGATATTTCGGATACAGCAGCAAAGACAGAGAAACGGTAGCAAACATGAAAAAGCATTCCCGTGGGGCTGGCGTGAGCTCAATACAGTTATTTGGGTGTCACGCTGTGTGTTTTTGGGATGGCGGTTCTGTTCAGGTTTTAAGCGGAAGAAGACAGGGGCTTCTTTGTAGAATCTGGCTTCGGTTGGAGCCCAAAACCGCATCGATGCTACAAGTACAACACAGAAGCTGCCTG